GAGAGAGAGAGAGGGAGGTTTCTGGTTTAGTTTCAATCTGATTTTACTGGCTTAGAAAAAGAAACCGGTTAGCCCAATTAATCGGTTCCACTGATTTGGCCTCATATCCTGTGAAAAACAGTCAATTTTAGGACCGAAATAACCTGGTTCAAGAAAACCAGATAGAAAATCTCTGGTGGGTTTTCTCTGTAATTCCAGCGATATGGGTGGAATGGTCTCTGATGAGGTACTGGGTACTTTTATGCCCATATTGGTTTATTGGGTTTATTCTGGGATTTATTTTTCATTGAATAGATTCGACAATTATCGTATGCATTCAAGAAAAGATGAGGAAATAAAGAATTTGGTTTCCAAGGGGACAGTCGTCAAAGGGGTTCTTCTCCAGCAATCTATCCAGGCTCTTGTGGCACTTTCCTTGTTCATGGTACGTTGAATGGTTTTTTTTTTTTCCCTTTCTTGGAATTTTCAGTTTGCGGGTTTCATTTAATTGATCTAATATGTTAATTATTGTCAAAATTTGGGGAAATTTTCATCTTATTATTATTATTATTATTATTATTTATAAGTTACGAATTTTGCAAAGTTGTGTCAACGTTTTGGTTGTCATCATGATCATCCCTGTCAGAATTGATACTATCAGCGTGATTTGTTTATCTGAATTTTGTGTTTTCATGTCTGATTATCTCAAGCAATTCATCTTTTCCTCTAGAAAAGACTTGTGGGTTATTTTTTATTTTACCGAGAAACTAATAGATTTTGTAATGCAGAGTCTCTGGGGAAATTTTTTGGGGAGTTTCTTTTTACCATTTTAGAAATTTTGCAAACAACCCCATGATGTGGTCTTTTTTCGATGTTTTGGAGAATTTTATCTTTATGGTAACTCTGATGTTTTTATTTTTCAGAAATATAATAACAGGAAAATTGTTTCATGAAGGCTGGACCGTATTTCTACAATATGTGGTCCAGAGTTATAAAGCATTCATCTTAAAATGGATGCAAATAGGTGTAAAAACAATTGTAACTAACGGTCCAAATGTTTTTGTAATATAATTATTATTTTTTGTTTTCATTTTGTTTTTTTTTTTATGTTCATGATCTCCATGTTAAAGATTATATAGTCTCTAAAAATTAGGATCAAATTATATTTAAAAAATATATTTATTGCCAAGCCCGCATTTCTGCACTATGCGGGCTCGCTGCCTAGAAACCGTGTCCATAATAATATGATTATTCGATTGAAGTGGTTGGTTGGGAACAAACCTGAAATTGAGTTGCATGTTCTGAAGTGATCTACACAATTTTAGGGGTGACTTATCGAAGAAAGAATGAATCATGAGGATCAGTATGTGATCATGTCCATTGAATTTGCTATGTTTGATGAATTTTCTGCTGAGGAGAAGTTTTCTGGTTATTGATTATGTTTAATCTGTGGAAATTTCTTTCTTTCCGTCACTCAATCCACTTAAATGCCCTCTTCATAGCTTCTAGTTTACCCTGGTTTTCTGCAAGTATATTCATCCCTATGCTGGATGAATTTGGTTTTAAGGAATGAGGAAAATTGAATTCTCATGGAATAAAATTGGAATACTAATGGAAAGTGCCACGGAGGATATGGTGAGGACTAGTGCTTTATTCTGACTTGGGTAGGGACACGCCAGGGTCCTGATCCTGAGTTCCCCAGTCCTACTCAGGGGAGCCTGAGTCAAACAGGTGAAATTTTAGTAAGAAAAAAAAAAAATTATGAAAAACATGATCTCTTTTGGTCTGGAATCACTGGTCCCGATCTGGTGAGACTTGGACAAATCCTGAGACAGATCAGCGACTTTTTAAACACTGGTGAGGATAGTGCAAGTTTCAGCATAGGTTCTAGATACTGGAAACTGTATTGTGGTTGTTGGTGTTTGTGTGCAAATTAGGAGGGTATTGTACACCCCATGTTTCTAATTTATTTTCCCTCTATCAAAGAATATTTTTCTGTGTATGATAAAAAAAGAAATTACTTTTCAGGTGAAGAAGTGTGTTTAAATTTCAAGTTCGGAATTCCACACTTGTCCCACAAATTATCCAAAAAAAAAACATCTATCTCCCACCATAGATACAGATCGGTTCTTATCCCATGTAAGATGGTCTCACATGGGGTTGTAAGTAAATTGAGCAATCTCTTGTAGCAGGGTTGGACATTCTCATTTTCTCTTATGCCCCCAATAAGTCATGGGTTTATGAATAGAAAGGAGCCACTTCCCTATGGAAATACCTTCAAGGCTCCACACAATACCATAGAGAATTGAAGGCAACCATACAATCAATAATGACCCTCTAGGACAATAAGATCCTTGAATTTGCAAATATCTGATCTCACACTTTTACATTTTAATCCAGAGCATGTGACCCAAGAATATTTTAGTCATATTTGACATATTCATGCTCAGAACAACTCCTTGTATATGGACGGATGTACCCATTGAGATAAAAAAAAAAATCTCCAAACTTGATTTGTGCAAAAAATATGAAAGGAAAAATGTGAAAAATATTTTTTTCAAACTTGAATCATTCCTAAACTTTGGAAGGAAAACTTGATTTGTAATGATAGATAGCCATAATTCTCTCTTAGCATTTGTGGACCTTGTAGTTGGAAATAGTTTGGTATGCCACTAGCAAGTCCAGATGGAAGTTAATGGCCTGATGGAAGTTAATTGCATGTGACAGAGGTCATGTGCCTCTTGATTAAAGTACTACATGATGCAAGGGGGGTTGAAGGAGAACTTTGACATCACCAACTTAGATGCTCTTTACTATCCCTAGACATAATAGAGCCTCTCTAAGTGACATAAGACGAACCTTAAAAGGACATTTACGTAAACCATGCATGTTGCACCATGTCTTTACAAATAGGAAGAAGGGTTTGGCTAGAGCAATCAGGGATTGTGCACTGGATTTACTCTAGGTTGAACCATCTAGTCAGAATGTTCTGCAATGTTGGTCTGTAGGAAGAAAGGAACGTTGTCGCCAAATTGGGTCCGCCTTATGCATGATGGAAGTTCAAATTGATAGTACTTAATAATATGATTATCTTTGTTTATCATTCAAAAATAAAAAAGGGGGGGGAATATCTTTTTATTTGTTTTCCTCTTCTCCCTATATCTTCTTGAATGCATGTGATGCAATTAACATTGTTGAGTGAGTACCATCTCTCTTTTGTTAGTTTTGGTCATCAAAGAATTTGAGGAATGAGTTAATGACACTTCTATGAATGTTATCGCTTATACTGTCAGACCTATGGTGAATGCTAGAGCTAAGTGTAATGGGTATGTTGTTTGGAAATCTAATGCCTTAATGTGAAGAATCTAAGGTTCATGTAATGTTATTAGATATTTGAAACAAGGTAACATAATGTTGTTAGATATCGTTAAGTAAAATTTGAAAAAACTTTTTATGTCAAGGGTTTTTACCTTTATGCAACAACTCAAGTACTGTTGCCAACTTCAGTTTTTTTAAAAGCTTTTAAGAAGGGATAGAATTTGAAATGAATACATTTGGGAAAATTTAGGTGTGACACTAATAGAAGATAAGATGGAAAAAAGTAGACTTAAGTGGGCTAACCATGTGTGGCGCATACATAGTACAACACATGTTAGGAGGTGCGCATTAGTTCAAGTGGAAGGCTTAAAAATGGCAATGGGTAGGCCAAAAAAGACATGGTTGGAAGTAGTGACAAAAGATATGAGGACTTATGGTCTCACTAAGGGTATGACACTTAATAGAGTAGTATGATGGATCAAGATTCATGTAGCTGACCCCAATTAGTTGGAAAAAGGCTTTGATGATGATGATGATTTAGTTGGCATTTGCCTTGATGACATCAACAAACAATGGGATGTTGGAATGGAATGCACACGGGCAGGATGATTTCCCTTGTCCATAATGAGGTAGTTCTGTCCAAATTATTAGCTAGTAAACACTTTTGATGGCCAAAACTAATTCAAGCTACTCATCTTATGAAGTTTTAAGACCTAGAGACTTATATGAGGTCCCGTTGGGAGTTAACTTTTGACTTTTTCTGGTTTGGCATCTTGAATTTTGTGAATTGATATTGCAAAGGCTTTGCATATTTGCTTGCTGATACTTGAGATTCATAGGATAAAGTTCTATTTATTTGAGCATGATTCTTCACTGAATGCTATATATTTTTGGCGGTGTTTCTAGGATGCTTACTTTAATTTTCTTCAATCTGAAATCTTGTACAATGGATCTTTTTGTTTTTCTTGATTGATTTATTCTTTTCAGAAGTTTGTCAAATCTGTCTGGGTTGCCCTGAGTCCCTTTCAACTCATAACTAGGATTTCCAGGGAGAGTACATAAGACCTAAATCGAGATAAACCTCTCACACAATATTAATGAGGCTTACCTCTTAAAAATAAAAAAAGGAGTTTTATCATTGAGCTAGATATTATTCTGCTAGTCTGTCGCCCATGCAATGCATGGGAACCACTCATAGAACAAACGGACAGAGAAGAGAAAAACTGCCCTACAACTCTGCAAGAAAAAAAAAAAGGAAGCAAGAAAAAATCAGATGGGGGCAGTTATGTGACTTCCTGTTTTTCAAGTCACATTCACTCAGTAGATGGAGAAAAGGAGATAAATTTCTTCTTGGTTATTATTAGATTGAAAAAAAGAAATTGGCAAAAATTTAGGATAACTTATCCCTTCTTTTAAGTTAATCTCTCCACCTCCCATAAATTATTTATACTTCCACTATGAATCTCTTTCCTAAACATGTGTCTGCTTTTGATTGGTTGGTTTTTTTTTTTTTTTGAACGTTAATTGTTAGTAGTGGGTTAGCAATTTCTTGAAACCGTTAGTAGTTTTCCAAAGGGGTTAGCGGTGGTAGGAATGGAAACCGAGACTGGTAGCTGAGTCACAAGTGGTGCTACCACCATGACCTCAAAGCAAATTTTGGAATGGTTGGTCTTTATAGGTGTCAAAACTCAATCTGGTGTTGTGACAGACACATGTTGGGAGAAGTATTATGGATTCGTTCGGTTGTATGCTTTGTTTTGTATCTCAATGGAAGGATCACATTGATAAAAGACGAAAAGTATCACAGAAGAATCATCATTAACTTAATATTCACCGATTTTTTTTGGCCCATTTCAGGATTTAATATTCACATAACCAAGATAACCCTTTTAAATCCAAAAGTGATATGGTCAAGTTTATGTTGCACATCCATGATAACAATGCCTCTAAATGGCGACTCGGTCTCGGACTGCCTTAGTGACTTGACTCACTGATGGGCAGGTTCCAGATGGAAAACATTAACACTTGGTGAGTCTCACCATTTCTTGGAAGTTGGAACCTCGGCGTACTTTCTCTGGAGTCAGCTGAGTCGGATGATTGACTTGAGTGGGTCGGTGGCTGACTCGAGCTTGGGACCCTGACAAGTCAAAGCCTGAGTCGAGGCGTTTAATTACTGGTCTTTAGGTTGGGGGAGAATTACAAAGTCTAGAAATAAGTCATTTCACTAAAGCAAAATGATGGACGGACTATGGTTGGGACAAATGCTGCCCTTTATTTGATGAGACTTAAAATGGTACAGTTCCTGAGGATTTAGTTAGTTTAGATGCATTGCACTCATCCCCCTCCAAATTCAACAAAGCATGTAGTTACTGTGAGTAAGATGCCTTTTCCTAAAATTTATGGAGTTTTAACCAGTCATAACCTTAGTAAACAAATCAACTGTTCATTGTGTCATGCATATATGCTACCAGTCTTACTTGTATGCTTCTAAAGTAATTCAGAACCATTCCCACTGTCTGTTTCCTTGTGGTAAACTGGATTAGAAACAACTAGTATGGCAGTGTGTTATTAGTTGCTTGATGTGATAAAACTCAAGTGGACTTTGAGGTCTTGAAGAAGAGCCGGGGGCCATGAAATCTCACTTCGAGTGTGAGACGTATAGCAATACTCATTCTTGTATAGCAATACTTATTCTCTGCACTGGAATTAGAAACTATCATCACCTTATGCTCTTTCAATGACAATGTCCAGAGGATTAGGAAAAATAATACAGTCAAGGTAACAAACCCCCCACCCAAAGATACCCTGTCCTTGCACAAATTCGAACTAAGGACTGCAATCTCATAAATCTTTCTGATGCACTCACCGATCTCTTGAGAACTCAAAAGATCTGCTAGTCTCGAGAAATTGTGCTAGTCCTTTTGACTATTAAAGGGCTGGAGATATAAGCAATAAATTTTTTGATCGCTGAAGAAGGCTGAGGAATATCTCTTTCCTTTTGGGTAAGGAGCAAGAGCAACTTTTTTCTTCCACTGAAAACTTCCCTGTCTCAGTTCCATTGAATCTGTTACGAGCTGACCCCAAATTGCTATCTTGACCTCCCTAGGATCCCTTGTTACGTTGACGTTGTACATTTACAAATACAAAATCATACAAAATTATGTTCAATAGGATCTGGACCCCCCTTGCCTTCTATTGATATGTACTATGCAATCTTCCTGCTTAGTGGGAAAAGAAAAAGAGAGAATATCCATGTATCTTCACCTTTGCCTCTTTGTCTCTCCACATTTCCACCACTGAACAATTGCTGATTTAACCAATAGTTTGAAATTAGAGAGGCATGAATAAATTTTGACCAAATGGTGTATATTTAGGCAGAGTTGATGAAATGGAGATTTATAATCCGGACATTGTAACTGAGGTAGATCCATTTGTCGTCGATTGGAGCTTATTATTATTGTATTCTCGTGCACGCAAATTGGCTGATATGTAAATCTGAATTGTAAATTGTGCATCTTTTTTATTACTTATAATTGTGGATTCTTGTATTTCTAAGAATTTTGAATATTGTGGATCTTGGATGGTGAATGTGGTGTGTGTTACGCAACAAAAGAAAGAATATTGTGGATGTTGAATTCTTTCCGAAGTTTGATAATGCCTTTAAAATAGATGCCTAAAAAGTGGTCATTAGAGTGTTTGATGAAACAAAATACATGTGGGAGACCGGTGAATTGAAGCTCTGTCACCTTCATAAGCTTATTATCTGAGTCCCATGAGATTAATTGCACCAATCACTGTAATCACTGTTGGCAATCTTATCCATGTGCAGGTTACCAGCACCAATGAAGAGACCACCTCATTTTCACAGCCTTCCCTTTTCATGTACGCAAAGTGGTTCTTGATAGCCATGTTGGTTATGGATACCTGGCAATACTTCATTCATAGATACATGCATCATAACAAGTTTCTATATCGCCATATCCATTCGCAACATCATCGGTTAGTTGTCCCCTATGCATTTGGGGCTCTGTACAACCACCCATTAGAAGGTCTTCTTCTCGACACAGTAGGAGGCGCTCTATCCTTCCTCCTATCTGGTATGACCCCTCGAGCCTCCATTTTCTTCTTCTCCTTTGCGACCATCAAAACTGTTGATGATCATTGTGGACTATGGCTTCCGGGCAATCTATTCCACATATTCTTCCAAAACAACACTGCTTATCATGACATACACCACCAACTCTATGGCAACAAATACAACTTCTCCCAGCCTTTTTTTATTGTGTGGGATAAAATTCTTGGGACATATATGCCTTACTCTTTGGAGAAGAGGGCAGGTGGGGGTTTCGAAGCACGGCCCTTGAAAGAGAAGAGTTGACTCCCTGTGCTATATAGTTTTTCGATCTTCCTTGTTCTGTTAAGTAATACAGCTTTTGAATTTTGATTTGTTCTTTAACTCCACGTGTATCTTATACCTCCTGAGGAGAAAATTTGTACAAGGGGAACTTTGTTTTCATATGTGTGTACAAGTAGTTGCTTTAGGCTATGAAATAGAGTTTGTATAGCATGAATGTTCAAAGGCCAAGTTCTCCGAAATTATTGTTTGTACATACTTTGATGGTTGCTTGATATTTTTTTAGCTTGATATTTTTTTATTTTGGATTTGTACCTAGATGAACATTTCTTTTTGCCCCATGTCCTTTGTGCTCTCTTTCATTGATCCTATGAACCTTACAAATGCTTTCTCGATGACCTTAAAGGCCTGTTTGGATCAAATATATGACATCAGTACGGTAGCTTTATACAAGAGAAAATCTGCCCTACTTTTTTTTGGGTGAGTTAGTGGGGAGGGGCCCTACCTTTTGCAATTCGGTTCCACTTGATTGTAAATTTACTGACATCCATATTTGAATTGGCCCTTAACGTGGGCTACTGCAAGGGTCCATTTGAGTCGAGGTCCAGGAATTGCAAGGGTCCAAGTAAGACCTGAGCCTAGTTTGGTCTATGTCAAGTGAACTTGGATTTGACCTGCCGATAAAGGTTCGGTCTGGGTCAAAAACTACATTTATTAATTACTGGAACTAATTGATACTGACACGGTTCGGTCTGGGTCAAAAACTACATTTGTTAATTACTGGAACTAATTGATACTGACACGGTTTTGGTGAGTCAGTCAACTGACTCACGTATTATTGTGTGGTCGCTTGTCTATCTAACATCTATTTTTAAGATGGATGTCAGAAAATGTTACCTGGACTAAAAGTTAAAATGGATGGTGAAGAAAATAATTTACAAATTAGCATTTATATTTTTTTGAAAAAGACAAAAGCTAAATTTAGATCAAGGTTGAGAGTATTGAACTTTAAAATTTTGAATTGAAAATACATCTGTGAGATATAGTTAGTAAGGAAACTGCACATGAGTCGGCTGACTTACTGAACATTTTTCCCATTGATATATATACCTTGAGTTTAGGTTGGATCGACTGAGACCATGACCATAGTGATCCAACCCAAGAAGGTTGGGCTAGACCTAGACCTAGATCCAACCCAAATCAGGTGGAACTAGATCCTACCAATGGGTCCATTAGGTAGGTCGAGACCTAGACTTGGGTCATGTCAACCCACCAGAATGTTAGGTTGACCCAAGTCAATAAGCAACCCTATGATGATCAAGTAGAAATGGTTCTACGTGAACCATGGTAGGGACCAGCCCGATTGATAAATGAAGGGTGTTGGAGAGATTGTGGGGCGCCAAGCCGATCTATGTCTCCAATATTGCCCATCCTTTAATTGGATGGTAGATAGGCTAGTCTCTAATACAGTTCAAGTCAATGTTTCGAAATCTAGTGAGCTGGATTGAAAACCGTTGATTTGGAGTGGGATCAAATCGGTTCTGAGATGATATTAGTTCTAGCATGAACCCCCTTGAAAGCCCCTCTTTTATTTATTATTTATAATTTTTATTTTTTGTATTTTTTTTTCTATTTTTTTAAGCATACCTTATGTTTTGGTAGCTCTTTCCTAAATCTCCACCATCTAAATCTCTATTTTTATTTGTATTTTTTTAATATTTTTTGGATTGCCTATTGAAACCGAATTGACCACTGTTCCAAAGATCTGACACATATTAGATCTGTAGGGTGGACAATCCACCCCACTGATCTAGGTTTGGAAACACTAGTACAAGTACAACGCGTTCTACTAAACCATATGTGCAGAATGTCTCTACTCCATAGCTTATTCTTTCATGGTTATTCATGACTTGCGCAGTTACATGGATTGGGTGGCTAGATTGGTCATCGGTTGTATTGATCTGAGCTGGACCGGATTGATTCTCTCGGCAAGCGGTCTAAAAAATATTAAATGTTATTTTAATTTAAAAAAAAAACAAAGGTGGGAATTGGGGCATTCAATCGATTTCGTTACAATTTCTTAACTTTCTTGCCCAATTATTTGTTAGAACAAGGTGATTTATAAAAGAGACCGATTCATAGTTTTGTCGAGGAACCGAGACCGATTCATATTTTTATCGAGGAATCGAGTCTGTCCCCTCCGACTCTTAATCTGGATTGACAAAAGGCGTTTTTGAATATGCACTCTATATAATGTATGACTTCAATGCATGCATGGCCGCTTGCAAATGCTCTTACTTTCAACAAGGCAAACATCGTCATAAGTTGTTCGACCTAGCGATAACCTTAAAAAAACATTGTGTAGGGTGTTTTAAATAGGAAGAGACCTAAACAATGAAAGCAAAATGCACCTCCAAACTTTGTCATGAGATGTAATTTTGGTGTCGAACCTGTTTAGGATGATACAAGAATTTATATTTATTACTATTTATAAAATATTGAACTAAAAAAATAGCAACCAATCAAAGAAATAAAAATGAATTTTAAAAATAGTTCAAATCAAACGGATCTATAAACACATGAAAATCTTGAAAATGGACTGTCCAGATAATGGATTGCAAAATGTATTATTTTTAAGAGTTAAAATCTCTGTTTTTCTTCATATCTATACATCTCAATGACGAGATGATTAAGTGGATATGTTTCCGACATCAAAACAATCTTTTTCTAAGGATTTTAGAGGTGGACTTTAATTCTACATGTCAAATTTATATGAACTCTTTCCATATATTTTCTAAAGATTTTAGAGAAGCACCTTAATTCTACATTTTAGGATGTCTAACTTTATATGAACTTCTTCCATATATTGCTTGACAAGAGTCGTGCGATCTGATTGCATGTAGACAATCTAATTTTTAGATGGTTAGAGCTGAGTGTATAATAAACATTTAAATACCAAAATAATATTATGATGTTTCGCTAGCTTTCTAAAGCAGTAGAGAAAATTGATGACATTTCCCTATTCTAAAGAGGGAGGGGATTAAATATATTTCATGAAAATGTATACAATAAGGGCACGTTTGTTTCGCGTGAAAAAGCATCTCGGAAAATATTTTCAGATGAAAGGTGAATATTTTCGCGTAAAAGGTAAACATTTTCGCGCAAAATTGATGAATGGCGCCATGGTAGAGATGTTGGCCTTTTCCATTGATGAAGTTAAAGAGATGGCTTCCTTGAAAACCAGTTTCATGTCTTGTCATGGTTTTGAACTCTAGAGAGAAACCCAAGAACCATGTTTCTCTGTTTCTCTGACCTTCTAGAGAGAATGAGAAACTCATTCACTGTTACTGTCTCTAGATGATGTACTTTGTTTCTCTCTACATGTAGTGAGAGAAAGTGTGCGGGCAGAAGAAAGTGAAGGGATGGGATAGTCATGGTGAAGAAGTTACCTTTTTTATTGATGGAGAGAAACGATGGCCTCCTAGAAAACCACTTCTCATCAATTTTCATGTCTTGTCATGGTTTCTCCTTTAAAATCTGGAGAGAGAAACCCGTGAACTCTGTTTCCACAAACCAGTTACACGTCTTCTTATGGTTTATCCTTTAAATTCTAGAGAGAGAAATCCAGAGCCAAAAATTTGAGAAATCCACTCACCGCTTTTGGGATTGTAACCCTATTTGAGAGAGAGAGAGATTTCCCGTTCCGTGTAATCTGATTTACTGGCTTCTCCAACTACTAGAGAGAGAAGCCAATTAACCCAATTAATTTTTTTCACTGATTTCACCTCATAATAGGATCAAAAGAACCCAGTTCAATATAACAAGAGAGAAAATCTCAGCTTCTCTGTAATTTCAGGGATACGAGTGGAATGTTCTCTGATGAGTTGCTGGGAACTTTTGTGCCCATATTGGTTTATTGGGTTTATTATGGGATTTATTTTCTATTGAATCGATTTAACAACTATGCCTGCACTCAAGGAAAGATGAAGAAATGAAGAATTTGGTTTTGAAGGGTACAGTTGTGAAAGGGGTTCTTCACCAGCAATCTATCCTGGCTCATGTGGCAAACGTGTTTTTCGTGGTATGTTGAAATGAGTTATTTTTTGGAAATTTTATTTCACTATTTCTTGTCATTGATGGAATTTATTAGCTATTCCTTTTGTTAAATTTTTGTGAAAAAAATTATTTTCTTTTTGTTTTGAGTTATATATTTTGCACAATTGTGTCAATATATAGGTTATTATCATCCTCAGCCTCATCATAAGTGATAGTATTTGCAGGATTTCTGTTTTGTGTTTGATTGTGTAATATGATTGATTACTTTCTCGATGACAGACCTTGGTGTTGTTTTTTATTATGCTGATAAAATGGTTGATTTATGACAGTTTCTTGGGAGAATTTTTGGAAAGTTTGTTTTTAGTATTTGGAAATTTTGCGGAAGTATCCATTGGTTTGTTTGTAATTGTTTGTCTATGTTTTGGTGAATTCTGTGTTTATGAAAAATCAATTGCTTGTACGCGTGTGTGTTTGTTTTTCCAGAAATGATGGATTGGAAGTGGTCAGTTGTTGATACCTATCAAATTTGAAAATCAATCATATGTTATGGGCCACTTGTCAGAAAAGGTAAGAATTTTGGGGTTCAATATGTGATCATGCCAATGGAGTTGCCTAATTTTGACGGATCTTTTGAACTTTGTGCAGGAGAAACTTCTTGGTTATTCATTGTTTTTAGGTTTTTAGCAATTATTTTCTTTCCCTTGTTTCGTGCACTCAAATGCTCTCTTCCTATCTACTAATTCCACTTGCTTTTCTTCTTGTGATGTCGATTATTGGGCACAATGACTTTGAAGTTTGAACTCTTTTTTTCCCACTAACAAAAACTTTTTGGAGATAGGGAAATAGGGTGTCCTTGGTTTTAATTTATTCATGGCATAAAATTGGAAGATTGGGTCTCTTTTATATTCATGGATCAAACTAGACGTGTAGAACTGGAAAGTGTCAGTGTCCATCTCTTATGAAAGTTAACATGGATTGACATTGTTTATGCCATTTTGGAGTGGCTTTCCTCTCATCTCATGGGTATCCTTGATTTGATTTAGGGCAAAAATTGGAAGATTGAGTCTCCATTATATTCATGGAATGAAATACAAATGTACTACTGGAAAGTGTCAATGGCCATCTTTTATGAAATTTAGCATGGACTAACATTGTTTGTGCCATCCTAGAGTGCTTCCTTCTCATCTCATGTATTTGTTGGAATCTTGTTAGTACTTATATGGGCTACTTGTCAATGAAATGTTTATGTAGGTGGGATTAGATTGAAATGTATATCTTTGCTGCTAAATATGTGTGGATATATCTTGGATGGGCGTTTTTTTCAGTTTTTTAACCACCTGTATATATCTCATCTTATATATTCACATGGTGAGGGATATATACGAGGGAGTGCTAACTAGTGTGAGGACAACTACTAGAGAGAAGTGAGTTTTCATTGACAGTAAGCCTGCATCAGGACGGATGTAGGCTTTGGTTTGGTTATAGATGGGTTAACTAGGCATCTACAAGATGAGGTGTTGTGGTGTATGTTGTTTGTTGCTGACATCACTTTGATTGATGAGACTAGAGACGGTCAGCACAAAGTTACAACTATGGATGGATGCTCTAGAATCTAAAGGTTTTAAACTTAGCCAGACTAAGACATAATATATGAAATGCAAGTTTAGTAATAGTAGGATTAGAAACAAGGTATCACTTAAGATTGATGACTAAGAAATACCTAGAAGAGATTATTTTTTATATCTTAGGTCAATAATCCATGAGACTGGAGAGATTGAGGAAGACGTTGTGCATAGAATTAGCTGGGTGGACAAAGTAGTGATGTGCTTATAGAGTCTTATGTGATCGTCGCATACCAATGAAACTGAACGGGAAGTTTTATATGATGCGTGGAAGACCAGCCATGCTTTATGGGATGGAATGTGGCCAGTGAAGAAACAAGATATCCATAGAATGAGTGTTAGTTGAGATAAGGATATTGAGATGGATGAGTGACAAGACTAGATAGGATAGAATCCAAAATAAATGCATTTGAGAGAACTTAAAGGGTAGCTCCAATAGGCAATAAGATGATGGAAAATAGACTTAGGTGGTCCAAGAATGTGTAGGTTCGGCCTATAGCAACATCGGTTAGGAGGGGTGATTTGGTTCAAGTGGAAGGCTCTAAAAGGGTAAGAGAAAGGCCCAAAAGGACATAGATACAAGTAGTGAGAAGAGATATGGTGACTTATAGTTTGATTGAGGGTATGGGCCTTGATGGAGCGTATGGCAGAACAAGATTCATTTAGCTGACCCCAATTAGTTGGGATAAGGCTCAGATGATGGTGTATCCTATTGCGGGGATAGTTTGAGTTTTGGCGCATGTGCGGTCATGGTTGTGGGGATTTGGGTGCAAATTGGAGGGTGAGTGTAGTACATCAATCATTCTTGTTTCCTATTTCTTTTTCCTTCTCCACCTAAAAACTATTTTACAAGTGGAGAAATGTGCTGGAAAATGAGACTGGAATTTCCACCAGTAACATCTAGCTCCCACACAAGCTACAAACATGGTCTCTCTTTCCATGTAAGTTGGTCTCACCTTGGGTTTGGAATGACCGAATGAGTTGAGCAATCTCTTGTAGCAGGCGGACTGTCCTTTTTTTCTCTCTTATGTATCCAGTAAGCCACGAAGATTATTAATCGAAAAGTGACAGCAAGACCCATATGCAATGACGAAATCACCTTCCATGCTCCTCAAAATATCACACGGCCGACAGAATGTGACATATGATTACAGCATGACCCTCTAGACAAATAATAACCTTGAATTTGCGAAGGCCTGATCTTAAACCCTTCCCATTCTAATCCACTGCAAGCGACCAAGGATATTTTAGTCAGGATTGACATATTGATGATTGGAACCTACCAACTATATGGATGGATCTTTTGCTAGTGAGAGACATAATTTTTCAAACTTGACTTGTGCTGAGACTATGAAAGAAAATCTTAACTTGTGAAAATCAAACAGCCATAATACCCTATAAGCATTTGTAGTTCCTTGTAGCCGGAGCAATTTTGATATGCTATTAGCAAGGCAGACAAAAGTTCTAGCAGGTGGATTCGGTTATTTGCACGTGAATGAGGTGTTGCATGATGCAAGTTGAAGGAGAAATTGGAATCTCACCAAGTTCGATGCTCCACCCTGTCCTCAGATTAATGGAGCTCTCTCCAAGTGATGCAAGGCCTACCTAAGAAGGACAGTTATGTAGACAATGCAGGATGCACCATGCCTGTTGATAGGGTAAATCTAAAATTATGCACTGGAATTTTCTCTAGGTTGGATAATATGGTTGGGTTGTTTTGCAATGTTGGCTTTAGGAAGAATGGGGCATTGTTACCGGATTGAATGAACCTTATGTTTTATGAAAGAACAAATTAATAATACTGAATACTGGAGTTGTATTTTTTACATTAAAAAGGGTTCCGTCATCCTTTTTCTTTGTGGTACATTTTCTCCTTATTTCTCGCTTGGGTGTCTTGTCTTCTTGAATGCAAGTGATGCATGCAACATTTTTGTGGCTCAGCATGACATCTCTCTTTTAGTTGGTTTTGGTTTGGTCATGAAAGAATTTGAGTGATGAATCTTCTCCTAAGATGCTATCGCATATGGTGAAGGTTAACATCTTAAAAAAAAAGGTGCTATCACACATGGTGAATGCAAGAGCTAGTTGTCTATTGGGGTATGTTGTATAGAATTCTAATACTTTAATATGAAAAAAATCAATTATTTATCTATTTGTTCCTTTTACTTTTGAAAAAATTATCTATTAAATTTCAAGATGTAATCTCTATTACAGTATCAATCTTATTTTGAAAAGGAAATGTATCAGTTTATAGAATCACACATTCAAAAAATAGGTGTATTCATAAAAAATAGGTGTATTCATAAAAAATAGGTGAATCCACGAAAAATATCAAAAAAAATATTTTTCATGAAATAAATTGATCAAAATACCCCCGAAAAGTTTTAGGGGTATTAGGTCAATTTGATTTTTGTGAATTATTATTTTTATATTTTTATTAGGTGCGCCTCACTAAAATGTACCCCCGCTCTAAATTCCAGATCATTCCGATTTGTAGAAAAAAATTAAAATTCAAACGCTCTCGGACAACCGTGACCGTTAAATCGGCCCAGATTCGATCTGGACAGTTGGACGTTTACTGTAGCGGTACGTATATGGGCGTACAAGAACTTTTTCCATATATATATATATGGAAAAAGTTTATATAAGGTTGCAACCTCAAAATGTAGAATTATAGATGCAGCTAAAAAATCCATCAGAAAAGGTTGCTTTAATTTTGAAAAAGCTTCTAATTGATCATCTTGACATCAAGATGTATGAATATGAAAAAAAAAAAAAAGATTTTATGTCCTAAAAATAGTGCATCTTGCAATACATTATCTAGACCGTCTATTTTCAAGATTTTTATATGTTTATAGATCTATTTGATTTTAACTATTTTTCTAGTTTAAAATTTATAATTAGATATGAAAATAGATTTTAAGATAATCTTAAGAATATTTTTCAGCAAAATTACATTTTATGATAAAATTTGAAGGTACGCCTTAATTGGATTGTTTAAGGTTGCAACCTTATAGAAACCACAACAT